ATGCTTTAGATTTTCTTAGGTACCAATAATAAAGATTATCTGGAAACATAGTAGCAAACCCAGCATAATTGTATAATGGTGGTTTCTCCAATAGTTTAAAATCTGATTCGATTTTAGTCAAGGAATCCTTATCTTTTTCCAATAAACAATTAATTAATATTTTAACACTGTTAGGAGAATAAAATGGGTTTCTCCATAAAGTTGAAATACTGATACTGTGCCATTGTTTGTTGACAAGAATACAAGAATATAATGTTTTATAATCATCTTCAATGTATTTGAATATTTCAGTCAGAAGCTCAGGTGGAATATTTTTTATTTCAAACATTTTTAAGAATAATTTGTTTGTTGCACAACGTAAATGAAAAAAAAAATCGAATATGTTATGGATTTACCAATATAGGTATTATTTTGATTAGAAGAATTATTGTTATGATAATTGATTATTTATTTAAATGTTTAAATGTTACATTCAGAACTAAATGTACTCCAGTTTTTCTTATAAGACAGTAATTTATACTTGGCATAGACCACTAATTAGTGTTCCTGTTCATATCTCTAGCCATATTCAAATATTCATAATTTTATAGAAATGATTGATTCTTATTATTATTATTCAAATATCTGTAATAGTTACACTTTTAAATACTTTCAGATATCATGATACCTTTTACTTTTGGAAATTGTAATCATAATATATATAATTTATTTTTTTATTAGCATGACAAACTTTCATGTAATTAAATTTACAGTAAATGAGTAATTGCATTTTGTAAACCAATCAACCTTCATGAATAAAATTATGAATTCCATCTTTACAAATGGCATATAAAACATATACTACAAAATATATTAACATTCCACGATTTAATACATACCACTTTACAAAAATACAAATAAGCTCTCATTATATTAATTATAATAAGAAATCCTGAATTAGTTTTAATTATAGAAATTTAAAATGACAAAACGTTCCACTTTAATTGTAAAATATTGTTTCAGTAGATGAAATAAAGCCACATTCACATTATGAGCTGAATGGAGAGTAAAAGTGAGATACAACTAAATTGATTTACTGCCTATTGAAGTTTTTAAAGCATTGAAATTTAGTAAATAATTTATTATCATTTATAATGAACAGACATAAAGTCTTTGAATAATTAATTAGTAGAGCTTTTCTATTGATAATAATTGTCTTGAATTAATGTAATTTTAGTCAGGTTAGTCAAATTCTCATTTTAGGTTACGCAGCCCATCGTCATCACATTATCATTTTCATCTCCCATATTTTCATCATCATCAATGATTGTAAATATTGTTAATATTTTTTGGACATTTTATTCGTAATTAAAATAAATATACAGTGATTCAAGTGTCGATTTGTTTCTCTTTTTATCATGTATAAATGGACCAATTTCTTTCAAAAGCAAACTGATGAAGTAGGAGCTGAAATTATCAATTCTGCCCGGTTTAACGAAAATTTTGATTTTGTCATTCTTAAATACTATCAATATAACTTGGTAAAAATTAAAAATTCATGTTTTTTTTGTACATGATTTGAAAAAAAATCATGTGCATGTCACATACATAATTGACGTGAACTGAAAAGTTAATTTGTCTTGTAATAAATGCCAATGCAAAAAAATCATTCCTTGATGCACACTCTCAATATACGCACACACATACGATTAAAAACCAAAGTGAAAATCCTTATTATTATATGTTTCTATTATGTAGCTTTGATATGATTGCTTTTGATAAAATTCATGAAAACATATTAATAGTTTAAGTCTTCATATAGTGTTCCTATAATTTTCCCATGTTGAAATAGTATTTGGAACCCAGATCCAATCCCGAACTATGTGAACATTACTGATATAATTGGCAAGCATTAACTCCTTTAGCTCATTTGTTTATTTTTGAGTCCGTTCTGAGAATAAAAATATAAAGTTGGACTTTCCTGTGAGATCGAATGGCATATATAGAAAATTTTCCCTACCAGAGCATATAGTAGTTCGAAGATTTCCATAAAATTTTCAACTTCTTTCAAAAGAGAATGGTAACATCGCTGACTTAATCTGTGAAATTTTATAAAAATGCTTCTTATCAAGACGAAGTTCACTTAACGTAATTCGATCACCTAACATAAAATAATCAGAATAAGATTGATACTGTTCAAAAGAAACTGACACATTACCAATACATTGCACCATGTAGATACATATATTTCTTGCATTTTCTGCATTCTTATCTAAAATGGTTCTAAACAAAGAGACCAAGTCAAACATAGCTTCCTTGATGAGCTTTTCAGTATCTTCTCTGACGTGTTTTGTAACAACATTCTCCGGTCCTCCAGATACTTCAATGAATATGTTTTCTTTATTGCTTGCAACCTTAAAACCTACTTTATTTAAAGTCAAATCAAATCCTGGAAACAACATTTTGCATCCTTGATACACTTAGTTTGCACTTCAATCCAGTCAAATGTGTACTCTTGATAATCAGATTGAATAAAGTAACTATTCTCTCCACGGTATATTTTCTTTCTCTGATATAACGATTCAAAAAACCCTCCCTCACCAGTCAATGAAAAAATTGTTTTTAATTAGTTAGTTGTGCCAAAAAGGACATATAGAATCCTGGTAATATACTCACAAGTCATAAAGGATAGTTTTGCAGACTTTCTGAAACGTATTTTCGGGATTTAATGAAACCATAATAGCACTCTCAAATGTATCCTTTTTGACTAATTAATAAATCTTTTAATACATATAAATATATTAACATAACATCTGAAGGAGATTTATATTTACTTACCAATAGTATATTTACAAGCCAACCATGAATTTTTTCTAGAATTGCATCAACCTGATCAGATTTCATTATCACATGTTGGTTGTTAACATTTACTGACCAAATATTGGATAGAATGCTCTCCAAGAATAGGTTTTTGTGAGGTGATCATCACAGCTTCGTTATGTGGGTTGGGAGGAGGTGTATGAAACTAATGAAAAACAACATTACTCAGATATAATTCCCAGAAAAAAAATTTTTTACACCCAATGTCAGCTTACATCATCATCATTGGATTTGCTTTCTTGAATGTCTTTCTTGATTTCGTTATTACTGATGATTTCTTCAATGCCATTTGTAGATTTGGTGGTTGTCTTTTTGCCTGGATCAAAGATGCAAAAAAATAATGCCAGTCATTAAGTTTCAAAGCAAACGAGATATATTGGTATTACTTGTCCCTTCCAGATATTTCCACATAATCAGAATCGGAATCTGTTTTCATTTCTGTTGAATTTGTACTTTCAGCATAACACACTGTTCACTTCTGCGAGATGGTTCCTAAGTCATAAATCAGTTCAGTGTGTGTAATAGCCTTAAAGTCAATCACTGTGCTATTACCTGTTTTTCTACCTCCATTTTGAGCATTTAATGTGCAGTATTCATTACTAACTCCCGTATGACATTATTCCATTATTCTGATAGCCCCCGTAAAAGTTAATCAAAGTTTCATTGCAAGATATACAATTCCTCTCCCAAGAAAAAAATCTCATCTAGAACTTTAGCATGTAAAATTTGATGAGTCAATAACATTTTTAATCACATGTCCTGATTTTTTATTCCATCCCATCAAGTCAGCAAGAAGCCTTGAACATCAGACAACCAAGAAGGTCACTTGTGCCCTAATGGGACCAATGCTGGGTCGGCAAGAAACCTTTAACATCAAATAACCAAGAAGGTCACCTGTGCCTCTACACTGGTTTCGTGGCTCAACAAAAAGTCTTGAATGATAAAGAACCAAGAAGGCCACCACCATGCCACTTGCATTTCCAGCTAAGAAAAGATTCTTGCTTCCTTATACTTGTCAAGAAGTATATGTGCTTTTTCACATCTTTTCCCTTTTCCTGTGACAATAATGTTATTAAAGGACTTGATATACACGTCTATCTTTTTTTTCGAAAGGTTCAATATCACTTCTGTTGTTCAAAAAATCAATAATTCTTACAACTGATTTCATATATATATAGTAATAGTAAAATAATTGGATATTCTATTAATAGCACAAATGCCATATATTATGAGGTAATTAATCAAATTTGGTTTATTGTAATAATCAGTGTCGTACAGCTCTACAATGTATTTAAAAAATTAATTATTTGCTTTTGCTACTTTTTAATTTGGCCAAGGCCTCTCTGGTTCACTATTTTCAATCTTGCATATTCTTGATTAGTTTTTATACAAGAAAAGTTGAAATCCAAGATCTCAAGCAAATCCCAAGAAGGCACTCTGCTCAGAATTACATATACTCGACCAGGTACGAACATATTTTCATCGATGTTGACAGTTGCATGAGGTAATGTTAATCCTTGGGTTTTGTGCACAGTAAGAACGAAAGCATTCTGTAGAGGAAATTGTTGCTTTGATACAGGACTCCATTGATATCAAAGTGGTTTCTTTTTGCACAGTCATCTTTGTGATATCCTTCAACATTTTGAGGATCAGTCATTTTTGGTTATCACACCAATTGTCTCATTGCAAATTCCATGACCAAACGTCTCGTTGTTGAGGAACATCACTTTTTGCATCTACTTGTAGAATGACATGCTTGGGGAGGTTTGTATAGCAGTTGAAGTGAAAATCTCACTTTGATTCTGATTGAGGATATTGTGGTTGATCGTGTCTGCTGCAGCCGAGACAAAGCTCTTTCAACCAAAAGGTAATTTTTTACAAAACAGCTAATAAACATAGTGTAACGTCGTCTAGCCTACTATATATTATTTTAATTTAGAAAGAGTTGCGCCACAGCAATTAATTATATGGTTGGCTCGGTCTAAAGACCTCCTATTTCTGCGCCACGTGGCCAAATTTCAAAAATAGCAATTTTGTAATTT